CGAAAAAGTGCATTATTTTGAGTCTGCTCAGCCGTTTTATCAGCGTCTAGCGATTTCAGTCTACAAGCTGCATGCGTTCCGCATAAGGAAAATAATATATTCCGCTGTGCCTTTAAGAAGATGCTATATAGAGTTCATAAAATTTCGCAATGGATACGGACTGAGTTGTACATTTCGCGAGGATCATTGGTAAACGAATACGTGAGGTGCTGTATATATGGACATCGTAAGTCAGAAAGATGTGCATTCAAAGGCCAGCATCCTGGCGAGTCCGAAATACTATAGGATTATGCTACAAGATAATTAATGCTACAACGCCACCTTATTAGCCCTTCCTAGTCCAAAACGCATTTCAGAATTTCGGCTAACATTTCGTGAGATCAGTCACGCACTGTATCTGACGCGACTTTAAATTATCACGGTGCGCTAAAAACCGTGGCATGGGAGGCTGCCATTTGAAGGGAGAGCTCAGTCCTCCTCGCAGGATGATCAGTCCGGATACAGCGGCGCCGTCTTAATGTGCCTATATTACACATCCATTAAGACTGGATCCGAGGTGACCCCCTCTTGTTTATGTGAAAACCTGGCCCACCTTTAGCGGACCAGGCGTGCGTGACATGCGCAGACCGACCGGTCGGTCCAATTTCGCTCATTTCCCCTCCGGTTTTGCTGGTTCTGTCTCGACACCGAGGAGAGAAGTGAGAATACGGCAGATACTGCACAATTCTGCTATCACGAACAAATCCCCGTCCCTGGACCCACAATGCCGTGGACATCGTTCTTCGTGACGTCGAGTTGTCATGTCGCGTGGAGAGTAAAGTCTTGATAATCTGAAGAATGTGAGTAAGCAGGTTTTGGAACATAGGTTTTCTTTTCAAAACTATGAGGTCAAACATTCATATGGCCGAACGTCATGAAATACACGAGGCAGTTTATGAGAGGCACCTACCACATAAATAGTTCTTTAGAACTTCATAAAGCATAACTGTCGACTACTAACTGGCTTATCAGCATCCGATGACGACAGGTCAGTCCAAAATCCCAAAGAAAGCCACTTTCGTTCTTGTCCGAAAAGTGTTTTCTCTCGCGGGACGACCGTCTCCTGTAGCCTGGTCGTTGAGAGTCATTCCAATATTACATGTCTTTGGCGCAGGAGTTGGCGCACACCAATTCACTGCCTTCTCGAGGCAAAGAAAATCCGAATTGGAGAGAGCGGTCACGAACAGGCAACTATCTGCCGAGTCGACTCGACCAAGGTACGATAGCAGAGGCGAAGACGACAGAGAATGCGAATAGAATGGTGTTGAAGTACGCTTGTAACCCACCTGGCGAGCCCCCATAGTAAACCACTTGCGCTGTGTGCGTGCGCGTGTTTGTAGTTAGGGTCCCATTTGGGGGTCAGGATCATGTTGGCCTGAACAAAAGCGTGGCAAGTGGCAGCCTGTTCGAAGCGTGCTTGCTTCGAGATGTTAATGGACCAGCGTGTACCCCATTCCTGTATGAACATATATGGACATCAGTGGAATCAACTGGCATTGCTCTTACTCAGACATTAGGACCACTTATGATAGTCAAATTCTTCCTGTCAAACAAATGGAATCATAATACTTTATAGTGAATGGTCACTGAAGCTAAATGGCAGAATAAAAATATGACTTGTAGGACTTACTGTTTGTAAATTGTGTTTCCGATATTTACTTTAAAATAACTGGTTAGATTTAGTCGGATTTTTAATGTAATCGAAAGTCCCAGCGGAGGTAATACATGCATTTTCCGCCTAAAGGCAGTTGTAGGAAATTTTAAGTGAATCCCTAATTGAAAAGTCAAGTTGGCAAACACATGTTTTCGGTAAAACGTCACCAGGCCCACACAATTGCATAAAAATCGAAAAATTGAGAAAGATGCAAGGTTTATAAGTGTCTCAAGGATCATTGATATTCCTTGACCCACTGTTGAGCGGTAAGTCGACGTCAGTGATCAAAGTATGTAAGGTTTTTCGATTCGAACCGATCATTCAAGTAGGGTTTGAATATCGACTATTCTATACTTCAAGTAAGAGTGCATTTCGGCTGATAAAGGATTCTACTTATAAGATTTGCCGAGACCGTGAAATTTCTATATATAGAGCATTGCATTTGCACATGTAATAATGTTGCTGATAAGGCATCATGGTCTACATACATTGAAAAACTGTATAATTTCTGTGCGATATTTTCTTTATAGTGTCTAGAGATGTATGATTTTCCTTACACGAAAAATAAACAGTTTGTAGTTGGAAAACCTTAAATGCCACTGTAACGGCAGGTCGGTCTCAAAATTATTCGGCAACTGAAAGGGTTTTTAAAACCTGGAAAATCCCCGTTTCTCAAACGAAAGTTTTGAGGAAGACATACTTTGCTACAAAATGACCCAAATGTGATTAGACTCTCGTCGTACGGCCGTGCCTCGTAGCTCAGGTGGTTAGAGCGTAGGCTGTACTAAATCCTTCCCCTTTCTGTCGTGGGCTTGAATCCCACCGAGGCGCCGAGTTTTTCGCAGTTGGGTAAATATGAAAATGAGTACGGGAAATAATATTTTTGTCTACATTATCCACAAAAATGTTTAAATTTGTAGAGGCATCGAAAGTCGATGGGAAAAAAGCTCACTATTTACGTGGTATTTTCAAGCGGTTGGAAAGAAGCTCGTTTGAAAGCCGGCATCCCGGCGTGAGCTGCATATTAATAAATATTACGACCCAATCTAAGTAATCATTTCGAATGGAATACGCATTTTAGAATTTTAGTGAATATTCCATAAGATAACATATTAACTGCACGTCTCTTTATGAGTTAATAACATCTGCTGCAATTATGTTTCTTTTCGCGCTACAGCTAACCGTTAGAAGCAGGGGAAGTAGACTTAAAGTGTCTCTCTGTAAACTGTTTCTACCGATGTTGGACACTACTCCTATAATAAACAGGCAAATCGTTTTTTAAAACACTTATGCCATCAGCGGACGTCAAAGAGGAACATCTTTGCAATGGAACGCTGATTAGGTGAATTGGTAGGGTCACTGTTTAGCCCATTTGCATACAGAATTGACAACCCTGAAGCATACCTTTTCTTTTGCCATTTAAACAACACCTAACAGACTTTATGATGTTTTAAGCGAACACCTAAGTTTCGATGTTTTCTTCTGGCATTTCTACACTGTCGGGCCTGCCGATGATGATGAGGATGAAGAAGAAGAAGAAGAAGATGATGATAATAATAATAATAATAATAATGATGATGTTGCAGGAATTTAAAGTCCTCTCTTGCAGACCCCTCTCCCTTTTTTTCTTAATTGCTTCCTGTTTAAAAACTTTCCACGTTCAGGGTACTTCCCTTGCACTTTGCCTCCCGCATGCGTCGAGCAGTGAGCTTCCTAGAGTACAAGGGCATAAGGGCATGCACCTCGAACGGACCGTTAGGAACGTAGTAAAAATTAGTTTGCAGTAGGTTGGGGGACGGGTACGCTGACCCAAATGCGATTAATCTCACGCCTAACGGTCGTGGCCTCGTGGCTCGGGTGCACGGAGGATTGTTGGCAGTACACAAGCCTTGTCCTTGCTGCTGTGGGCACGGGTCCCACCGAGGCCACAATTTGGTCAACTGAGTTATTTGAATTTCCCAAAAACATCCGTTAACTGGAATTGTGTCTTCATTTTTGAAATTGGTTTCTTTACGTGGACACTTCCAAAGCATAGTCATTTACAGTTTCGGCTGTTTGAAATAACCCGACAAAGGCAATTATATACGATTTTGTTTTGAGCGAAGCACCCCTCTTTGCAGGGGTTGATTATTACCTGTACAATAAATTCTAGGCCTTCAACCTTCTATAACTTCGGTGGGTGGCCAGATGTGGCAAAAGGATTGAAAGGAAATCAAGAACTTGGGTATTTTTTTCTGAAATGTCCAAAGACCAGAGTAAATTTGAAAATATGTTTTCGTCAATTCTCCTTACTCTTTGTGACGAATGCATTTAAAATACTTCATTTTAACATTGCTGTATTTCTGTACTTGTATCATTTACACTATGTTGTTTTATTTTTTTATTGGAGCATTATATGGTTATGCAATTGTGTTCTTTGCCGCAGATCTCCTTAACTCTGTGTAGACTTCATACATATGTAGAGAAATTTCACTGTGCTCCTAGCAAATTTTCATTTCAGATGTGCCACCCAGAGTAAAGAGAATTCAGAACCGTCAGGTTGGC